CACACACACACACACACACACACACACACACACACACACACACACACAGGCTGCTTCTGGCAGGGTCCCCACCCTAGGCCTGACCTTCTCGATGAGGTCGATGCAGGGCTGCAGGTCCAGGCCGAAGTCGATGAAGACCCAGTCGATGCCCTCCCGCTTGTACTCCTCCTGCTCCAGCACGAACATGTGCTGGTTGAAGAACTGCTGCAGCTTCTCGTTGGTGAAGTTGATGCACAGCTGCTCGAAGCTGTTGAACTGTCAGGGGCAGCAGCTCGGTCAGCAGCTCCTTGCGGATGGGGGTGGAGGGCACCGGAAACAGGGCTGTGCTCCCCACGCCCACCCCTTGGCCTCTGCCTCAGAGGGGACAGTGCCTAGGTTGAGAGCTGTCCTTACCTCAAAGATCTCGAAGCCAGCGATGTCCAGGACCCCAATGAAGAACTGTCGGGGCAGCTTCGTGTCCAGGGTCTGATTGATTCGAGACACCAGCCACCGGAACAGCCGGTCATAGGTGGCCTTGGCCAGGGCCCCCACAGCGAACACCACCTGTGAATGCAGGGAGGCAGAGTTGGGGGCCTGCCTCAGTTGTTCCGGGGCGAGCCTTAGTCTGAGGGTCCTCACCTGCTCCACGCTCTGGCCCTTGGTCACATACTCGTTTCCTACACGGACCCGGGGGTGCAGCAGACCTTTGAGGAGGTCCCCACTGCTGACCCCCATCAGGTAGGCAGCCTTGTCAGCACCTGGCGGGCAACATGGCTTGGATGTGGGAAAGGTCAGCAATTGGGCATTTAGGGAAAGGGTCTGTTGTCACAGCTTGGGGCTAGAAAAGGAAGGTTGGGAAGAATTGGGCCTGCATATCGCCATCTTCAGGAAAGTCCAGAGCTCAGACAGGGACGGAGAACACTTAGGTCGAAGGTTATGGGCTAGTGAGCATGCACAGAACAAGGTGTCCAGGATAAAGGCCGGCCAGGCTGGGATTAGAGGTCCTCACTCTCAGTGCCGTCTGCCTCGGCCTGTTCCTCTCTCTGCTTCTGTTTGAACTTCATGTTGCCAAAGTGCAGGAGGGCACCCACGATCTTATAGCAGGCACACTTCTCCTCCACGCTGAAGCCCAGGATATCCATGGCATGCTGAGGTGGAGGAACAAGGCCGGTTCAGAGGAGGATGGGTCCTTGGCCACGCCACTGATGACATTTCCTGGTCCCTACCCAGCCCACTTGTTCACACACTCACACCACACCCCCACCACACACCCCATGGAGCCCAGCGTGGTACCACCTCCCACGCCCCACTCCCCACCCCCACGGAGCATACGTCAGTGGCGATGAGCTCCTCCCCGTCATCCATGTTATCCACCGTTGTGACCCCCTGGCTGCAGAAATGGTAGTCGTAGGGGTTCATGGACAGGAGCAGCATGTCTGTGGACAGGGAGGCCGAGTTCTCAGGCTGCCTTCCCTCTCCAGTCCCACCACGAGGCCTTGGGGCATCTCTGTGAACAAGACCGCTTGGGCTTCCCTGGAACCTGAGCTTCTGGGCCCTGTTATCCACACACGTGGCTTTTGATTTGTTATTTTTATATATTTAGTCTTCTAAGACATGTTCTGTGTAGCCCAAACTGAAATAAATTCAAGATTCTCCTGTCTCAGCTCCTCAGTACGAGAATTACAGGCATGGCCACCTGGCCGCTTCTTTTTTTACAGTTGTGTGTGTGTGACTGGGGATGGAACTCAGGACTTTGTCTCCTAGACAAGTTATCCCTATTACTGAGTTGTACTTAGCTCTTTCAAATTTTCATTTATTAACATAGTTTATTATCATGTTTATTCCTTTTGTCTAGACAAGGTCTCTCTCCATAGCCCTGGCTGCACTGTTACTAGAGCCAGGCTGGCTCCGAACTCACAGAGATCTGCCTGCCCTGCTTCTTGAGAGCTGGGATGAAAGCACATGCCACCAGGCCCAGCCCTTTTCATGTATAAGTTCATGAGTCTCTTTCTTCATGGTTCTCTGGGGAATGCTCCTCGGTCCAGAGGTCTCCCTCACCCGTGGACCACTGCTCATGGTCATCCCTCTAGCCCAGATTCTGAGCTGGACACTGGGACAAAAGGAGGACCATACTTTGCCTTCAAAGGGCCTACGAAAGTGAAAGTGGATATAGATTAACACGGGGGGGGGGGGGGGGTTCCCTCGGTGCTGGGTGGGGCTTCTAGTCTCGGGATGGCAGGGCAATGGAGCTTAGAGGCCTGTTCCCTAACACAGGAACGCGCACGCGCGCGCACGCACACACACACACACACACACACACACACACACTGCTACCACTGCCACCGTCACCCCTTCCCCAACAACCACCACCAAAAATAAATACACAAAAAATAAAAGAGGGCTTAGTGACAAGAAGCAGCAGCAGAAGAAGTGTGCAGGGCACACTTCTGTGTGTGTGAGTCTCCAGGGGAGTGGAGGTGTCCCACACCTCTCCAGAGAGGGTGAACCCCCATCCCAGGCCCGGCCTGAGGGGGCCCAGGCAGTCTTTTGGGTTCTGAGCCCCCATCCAGGCCCTCACCCTGCAGCTCCGGCTTCTTCCCTGAGAGGATCTGGTAGTATACGTGGTAACCACGCTCACCAGGCAGCTGGAAGATCACTCGGGACTTTTCCAAGAGATCTGTGGGAAAGGAGGACTAGCCTCTGTCTCTGCCTTCCCAGAGCAAAGACTGAAGCAGGGCAGGGATAGGGGCATGGCAGCCACGAGAGGTGGGGCATGTGTGGAGGGGCCTGCCTACACTGGAAAGCGCCTTCCTGATCTGTTATCTGTGTCACTGTGTGACTTGTGTCTGCTTCTGCAGAAGACACTGTCAACCTTCTGTGTCGAGACACAGGTCTCTCAGCTGAACCCAGAGCTCCGATGAAGCTGTCTCATCTCCAGGGTGCTCTAAGGCTCCCTGCCTCGGCCTCCCAAGGGCTGGGGTTACAAGAGGGCACCACCCCCACTCGGCATTCACACGGGTTCTGGGGACCTGAACTCTAGTCCTTGCACTTGCACAGCAAGTTCGTTACTCATGAGCCCTCTCCCTAGCTCCCAAGAGGAGCTTCTGAAGCAAGAATAGGATATGATCAACTTCGGGCTACAGGCGAAGCAGGAAAGTAAAGACTAGGAAGCCGGTGTGATGGGCGAGGTTAGACTCAAGCGGGAACTGGTTGGGGATGGAGAGAAATGGCCAGAGCGGACAGAGGCAGGAGGATTGACTCAGCTCAGCCTCTGCCCCTCCTCCCACACTGCCTGCCCTCTCCCGCACTCACAGCTGTCAATGTCAGCAGAGGCCAGCTTCCCGGAGGGACCGAAGTGGATGCGGATGAACTTGCCCTGCAGCAGGGGAACATGTATCCTGAGGGTCCCCACCACCAGGGCCCTCCCGACTGCTGACCCTTCCCCACCCCCAGCAACCCATCCTCCGACTGTGCCCACTCACAAAGCGAGAGGAGTTGTCATTCCTCAGAGTCTTGGCATTGCCAAAAGCCTCCATGGCAGGGTTAGCCTCGATGATTTGATCCTCCAGGGTGCCCTGGTGGCAGCAGGAATGAGGGGCCAGGGCAGCCCATGGAATCTCTTGTTGTAAGGAGATGTGGGCATCCCCAGGACCCCGTAAGTGTCTGCCCCACAGCTGGCCCTATACTTACCCCGGTCTTTGTTGCCAGAAATTGCTGGAGGGAGAAGGAAAATGTCAGAGGGTGTGAAGTCTTTCTGGGTAAGGGTCGGGCATCGGGACAGTGGGACAGTATGTTAGTCACCCAAATATTTAGTAATGTTAAATGTGGCATTCTCCCCTTGCCGACTCTGGACACCTTGCTCTCCTGGGGCCATTAGCTGGGAGATGCTATACAGGGGAAGCAAGGGCTTGAGGCAGGGGGTGACACCAGGTCTCCTTTGTACTCGGCCCAAGCCTGTCTCTGGCTGCTCAGGGATCTCTTCACTGTCCATGTCCACACAGGGGCCTGACTAGTCTTCTCCCTTAGAGGCCTGCCAAAGCCCCTCCTCCGCAAAGACCTCCCTGATGGCTGAGACTGTGGATTCTTCTTTCAACTCCACTTCCTACCCTAACCTCGCTGGTGGCACTTTCACAAATGTCTCCGTACTACATTAGCTGTGTCTTCAGCATGGTGTGTGGACTATACCCAACACAGCCCTGATGGCCACATATGTCAGAGTGAGGAGCTGATCTGCCCAGGGACACACAGCAAGTCCATGTCCTGGGGGTCACCTCAAGCATCCTTCCCTCCGTGTTTCCATTTGTTCCCCACCCCACCCCTACCCAAATGCCAAGCTCCTGGGAAGGGGAGAAGGAGAGGAATGGGCGCTGGGATGGCTAACATGCCAGTGGGGACCTTGTGGCCACTCATTCATTTATTGACCTGAGACACGTTCTGGGAAGAGACAGGAAGGGGCCTGCCCTCCCTGCATAACTCACACCCACTGCTTTTGTTCAAGATGCTCTCTGGCCATATTTGAGCTCAGGGGAGGGAGGCAGTGCAGCTTTTAAGTCCCCAAATCTTGTGGGTGACCTTTGGCTGACCCCTCTGTCCTGACTCGGGCTCAGAGCTCCTTCCTATGCGGGTACTCCCCTGTCCCAGCCCTTCCAGTTGTGTTCATGTCAGCTTTGGGCCGTGTCATCTTTTCCTGTTATAGGGTCACCCCATTTTTCTGCGGTCTCCTCAAAGGCCTTTTAGTGTTTGAAGAACATGGTGGGGGAGGAAGGGAGAAAGAATATCAAAAAGTCAACAGCAAAAACAAAACAACAATGGCTGCAACCAAAAACCAAAACAAACAAAATCCCAAAACCAAGACAATCAAATGAGGAAAGGGAGAAGGGAAGGAACAAAAAGAAGAAAAAAAAGGAGAAAGAAAACATAGCAAGAATTTTAAAAGAAGAAAAAAGAAAGAAAGAAAAGAAAGAGAAAATCGCCCCAGAATAAAGCAAGGCTCAACAGGACCAGGAGTGCGGGTTGTGCAGAGGAAACCTGGGCTGTAGAAAGGACCAGTCATATTGGTCAAGATGTGTGGAGCCAGCGGAAGCCATAGAAACCTTGACAGCTGGCCTGTGGGCCAGGAATAGGCTAGTAGTTCACATTAAAAACAACAAAAAATCCTATGCCTCCAGTGTTTAAGAAGTTCCAAAAAGATCGTAATCAAAACCAAGGCTGTGCTACTGTCAAGAATTCCCAGAGTCCTCCGCTCTGGGTAATCACCCTCTGTGGATGAGCCTTTAGGTGGCAGCAGGTAACAGTGCCCTCCATGAATGCAGTTCAAGAAAAACAATCACTTCGAGGTAAAAGCAGCCTGCAGGTCCCAATGGAAATGTCACACACACAAACATGTCCAGGAGCAACAATGTGGCTCCGGCCTGTGTGGTGGAGGGGAAGGCAGGCCAGGCGCAGGCCTAACACAGTCTTGGAGGTGGCCACAGGTTTTCTGGTCAAGCCTTGCTCAGGCCAGAGTCTCTCACCAAGGCAGGAGGCTCAGGCAGGGCTGGGTACTCTGGGAGGTTGCAATTTTAAAAAGAAAAAGAAAGAAAGGAAAAACAAAAACAAAAACAAAAACAAACAAAACAGTGGGAAACAGTGGGGATTGGCGCCCAAGTGGGCAAATCTTACTGCCTTCTTGCCCGGCCCGTCTCCCAGGGCAGCGACGATGGCAAAGTACTGAATGACCCGCTTGGTGTTAACCGTCTTACCGGCCCCCGACTCTCCGCTTGGGCAACACAAACATGAGTCACCAATGCTCGTTTGTCTAATTCCTCCAGCCCCCCAACCTCAACCCTCCCCCGCTATCTCTGTTCCCCACTCCGTATCCCCAGATCCAGACTCCCAGGTACAGAGCACTCCATGGGATAATGGCACCAATGCACCACAACCTACTGAGTACTAACTTAGCTCGTGGTGCCAGGCCAGGCTCCCTACCTCCATTGGAAGACCCCAGAGGCCGGACCATGAGCATCTTATGCATAAGGAAATGGGCCTCGGAAGTTCTGGACCTGCCTGTGCTCTGTGCAAGGTTAAACGCACTAACTGTTGGTAATTCTGTGTGGCAGATTAAATTGTTCTGTTTGCATTGGTGAGGTTCAGAGGCCACAGGCACAGAGCAAGAAATGGGAGTGTGAGTGCCTGAATCCAGCTTGTTCTTAATAACCAGGCTGAAGCTGTGTGTGCGCTCACAGGCATGCATGGGTGTGTTTGCATGTATTTGGTCTGACTGGGCATGAGTCCGATACACATGAAATGGATCACTTTCCCATGAAGGCTAAGGAGGGAGGAGGCCTGAGATACAGAAATGAGAAGGGAGGGAAGGGAAAAGGAGCTATACACAACCTCCAGGGAATGGAGGGGGGAGAGTCCCAGCTCTGTGGAGACGCAGCCAGGAGCTCGAGGGTGCTCCCATGTTTAAACATCTGCTTTCTACCCACTCCCCGAAACACAAATGAGGGCAGGGGGACACTGGCTGCAGGAGGTAAAGGCCCAGGACTAAGCACTGTGGCTCCAACTCTGAGCCGCCACCACCACCACCACATGCCAGCATTTGCCACACCGTACTCACGTGATCAGCATGGACTGGTTCTCTCGGTCTAGAGGAAGGGGAGAGAGTGAATGTGTCATCCAGGGTGAGGGGCTAACCAGAGGTGGACCACCTGGCTCATCTTTGGCACAGGCACGGTGGCCACCACCCAAAGTCCAGTGGGAAACATCAAGCAGGACTTCTAAAGAGGCAGAATAGCGAGGGCAGTGCCAGAGGAGGGCAGTGCTGAAGGGCAGGGCAGGGCTCCTAGCCAGAGGCCGCCCTGGGGCTGAGGGGGCTAAGGGGGGGCTAAGGGGAGCCGGGGGGGCTGAGGAGGGAGCTGAGGGGGCTGAGGAGGGGGCTGAGGGGGCTGCTGAGGGGGCTGCTGAGGGGGGCTGAGGGGGGGCTGAGGTAGGCTCTTACTGCGGAGCATGTCGTTGTAGGCGTTGTCTGCCACAGAGTATATATGAGGCGGGGCCTCCGAGCGACGCTTGCCCTTGTAGGCAGCCACCACAGAAGCTGTGTAGACCGGAAGCCATTTGTACGGGTTAATGGTGACACAGAAGAGGCCCGAGTATGTCTGAGAAGAGTTCACAGACGGAGTTTTGAGGGAGAGGGAAGAGATATGTCGAAGTCACCATTCCCAGGCCCATCGTGACCCCTGCTATACTCAAGAAGCCTCCTGCTACGCCATGCCCTGCCCTCCTGCTCCAGCTCATGCCCCAGGTAACAAATGACCCAGCAGCCTTTTGCTGAACCTTCAGAGGTGCCAAGTAGGCAGCCGGGTCCCACACAGGGCCTTGGCTCCGCCTTGCCTCCAAGACCCTAGACATTACCAAGTCAGCGCTAGGCCGTCCCCTCAGTCACCTAGAGTTGTTCCCCTGGCCCTCTCCTCTGCCACTATACAGTCCTGCCCCTTCAGCCCCAGAGCTTGCTTCCAGCCCTGCTCCAGCCCAGCTCCCCTGACACCTTTCCCGCTGGGCCCTGATCCTTCCCTTAGACCCGTCTCCACTGGTGGCCCCGCCTACTGTCTCCTGTCCCCTGCCCAGGACTCACGTAGATCATCCAGCGAGCATATCGCTGGCGCAAGTTGTGCAGCACCGCAGCCTCGTTGAGGTGCGTCATCATGGCCATGTCCTCCAACAAGTCAAAGCGAGGTGGGTTCATGGGTTGCATCTCTGTTTCGCGCACCGTCAGCACCTTCCAAAGAGAGGCATCGTATTGTGAGGAACAGAGATGGGCCAGCTGACCTTGCCGCTCTCTCCTACCCACACGCTCCCATGCCCCACCCCGCTTCATGCACTGTGGCTACAGCTGGCCAGAGATGCACCCGGGGTCGGAGGGCCATCTCAAGGAAGCCGGAGCCCAACCTTCTGGTCTTTGGTCTCCACAGTGACTCTGCCTCCAGCAGCCTCAGTCTTGACCTCTGCCTCCACATAGGCATCTTGTTCGTCAGGCACCCAGACCCTTTTCTTGCCTGGGTTGCAAAGAAATCAGTCTTTGAGAGGGGCTTGGAGTGTCCAGTGGGGTTCCTATGCCAGTGCAGTGTCACACACACACACACACACACACACACACACACACACACACACACACCTACTCCTCGCCGAGAGCCCTTCTGCCAGGACATCAGAGTTCCAGTGATGTCTCATCCAAACCTAGGGCGGGGCTGGGATGGCCCCCAAAGCTCTCCAGTGAAGCAGGACTCTGTGGTGCACACCCGTGATCTCAGCACTCAGGAGGCAGAGGCAGGTAGATCTCTGAGTTTGAGTCCAGCCTGGTCTACAAATCGAGCCCAGGACAGCCAGGGCTACACAGAGAAACCCTGTCTCAAAAAACAAACAAGCAAACAAACAAACACCTGGAATACCAGTCTACACTGCACACCGGGTTTCGGCTCCCGAGTGGGAGCCTTCGTTCTCAGTGGGCCTGTTTCCTCAAATGCAAAGAGCATGAGGCCTCCTGAAGTCCCAGGTGGGGCACCCCTTCAGGGTTGGGCTCCTAACTCTCAGGTGGGTTTCTGCTTCCCCATTTCCCTGAAGGCTTGGACACAGCTGTTCAGGAGAAGCGCCCTGTGCCCTGTGCTCATTCCTGACTGGCCAGCTCACCAAAGAGCTTCGGAGAGCCTTGGTCAGAACTATTCACATAACAAGACTCCAGCCCACCCTCCCTTATCTATTTATCTATCTGTCTGTCTGTCTATCTACCTACCTAATCTATTTATTTTTAAAGTTAAGATGACCTAAGGAAATCCTCTTCTCCACATGCTAAATTTTTAAACAAAGGAAAACAATTAAGATAACAACAGCAGAATGTCAAACCAAGCTGAGACACCTCTCCTTTCTTTTGAGACAGGTTCCCACTTTGTAGCCCTGGCCTCCAGTCACTGAGACCCGCCAACCTCTGCCTCCTGGGCGCTGATAGCAAAGATGTGTGCTGCCAGGTCTAGCTAGGCACATTACATTTTGAGCACAGTGCTGTGTACAACTCCAGATGTTGCATACCACTGAATCTGGCTTCAATTTGGTCCCCACCTGCCCAGGTTATTGAGAAGAAACACAGAGAGTCATCGGCTCTGGGCCAGGCACATAATAAGCCTCAGGCACTCATCACCTATGTTATTATTGTACTATGAGCCATAAGTCATAAATAGTAGTCTTTATTCCCGTCCCTGATAAACAGTGGCTTTGGCTCCACGGAAAGCACTAAAAATAAGTTCAGCACAGGTTTTGTGGACACGGAGGCCAACTGCACACATCAGTCTCATCTCTGAGGCCCTGGGTTCCAGCCTGAGTATTCAAAAGAAAGCTGACATTGTCCCATCTTACAGAGGGGCAGACTAAGCCTCGCTGTGGCCACACAGTCATCTTCACATGGCTCCTGCAGTTTTAGCCTCTGGCACCCAGACACTGAGGGAAAGACCCAGGCGTCAGGCCATAGCGTCCCCGTGGTTTCAAAAAGAACGTCTGCCCTCTTCACCCCGTGGAGAGTCCATCGGGCTTCTCCATGGCTGCTGTCCCTCTCTGCTCTCACTTACCATCCCATGGGACAGTGTGCACCTTCATCAACTCCTGGTAGCCCTGGCGGAGGTAGCAGGCTGATTCTCCAAGTTCGCTCATATCCATCATGGTGATGAGAGGTAGAGAAGGAGGACCTGAAAAGCTGGGCAGCGATTCAAGATAGTTCTAGGCAGCAGGCACTGGAAGATGACAAAGACAGGAAACTCAGGGGTCAGGATCCTCTAACCCACAAGGCTTGATAGTGGTGACTCCCTGGGTGAGCCTGCAAGTGAACACCTCCAGGCGTAAGTACTGCTGTAAGTACTGAGGACCTAGGCTCACCCACCCTCAGCCCTGACCAAACCACCCTCAGCCCTGACCACCCACCCTCAGCCCTGACCA